ATGATGTACAGTCTGGAGTTATTCCTTCAAAGTGGGCTGCAGTCTGATACAAGGTTGCTTTAATTATATGTTAGCTTTTATTAAAAAAAAAAAAAAATACCAATTTTGCTACTAAGTTAGTAGCAGTTGTTTTTTTCCAGGTGGTCTGAGTTAAAAGTGACACGTGAAGCCCACTGAATACTAAAAATCTGATCCAAAAATGTCATTCATTGTCATTATGTACCATAAATAACCGTATAGATTTTTGTCTCTTGATATGAGATGTTCGCTCAAACAATGATGCTGTGGTTATTAATACCACAGTGAAACAGAACATTGTGTCTGACTACAGGGTGGTGAGGGTGGAGCATATATGGGACTGGTGATGGGATATGGCATCTTTGGCTTCCGAGTCACAGGTTTGGATCCAGACTCTCTTGGAAAGTGACGGACGTCAAGTAATATGTGATGCCTTTCAGAAAGGGGCAACAAAAGAAGCATTTTTCCCTTGGCTATTCTTACATGGGTGGCGTTTCCCACTTGCAGTTGATTTTGATAGGCACACCACATCCATCTCCACACCGTTCAGTAGCTTCCGTGGCATTCAGTACACCACAAAATTCAGGAGCTACCCTCACTGCATTCCGGAAGTCACTTTTTTGGAGTCCAAGTTTTGAATCACTATCAGAGGCCTGCATCTGCTGGATCCCAGCTTTGTGGCCCTCTTCAAACCATTTTATCTAGTGATCCTTAAGGACGACAGCTAAGTTCATAAACCACATGATTTGTTTTCTCGCTGCAGCAGGCTAAAATGTTATGAAGCATCCTCCATGCAGTCTGGGTCATGTTAAGCTTGAGCTTAAATTTAATCACTCACATCCCCATTTGCAGCCACAAGATCTGCAGGTACTGAGCAACTAATAAGAATAGGTTGGATATGCCTCATGTTAGACACCCCAAAAATCAAAATGCACGGTACTAATGCCTATTTCTGAAAACTTTGGCTTAGTGCCTACACCCATTTTCAGCAAGAAGGAAAGATGATGTTGCTGCAGATTTTTTTCCTTGCTGTGAGAAACTAGCAAGGTGAATATGCAACAAGGAGGAAATTGCTGAAGGATCCGTCTTGGAGTGGCAGAATCTACTGAAAAATGGAAAGAGGATGCTTGAGCCAGTGAGTCCTTTCTTGAAGCCCTTTCGTGTACGTGCTGCTCAAGCTGAAGCCTCAGCATTCAGTATCTCGAGGTAGATGGTTGGCAATGACCATATTTTGCTCTGGCTGATGCGGATCCAAACCTCGTTCCCTTCCACAGGAGTTGCACCTGTATCCCTGAGTGCAGGATTTGGCCTGGTGTGTGGTTCTGCCCACAGATGCAGCTGATGATCCATGTTCAGAGGAAGGGGAGAATGCAAATTCCCCGTAGGGAGGCAACTGCCAGCCATGTAAACAAAGAAGCCTTCTGGGTGTGCAGCAGTCAGCCCACTTGAGCTGCTGTTTCCATGGTATACCAGATGCTGTAAAATATGCTTTCTTCAGGGAAAGAAGCATTTCATACTCCTGCATTATCTTGTTTGATAATGGGCTGTCATCAGGCTGGTACCTCACTGTAGGGGCTACACGCAGCAAGTACCTCCCGCCCCAACCCTTTTCTCAGTTGTTGTTGATGATAATTCATATTCTGCAGCTTCCAAACAAAGAAAAAGCTAAGTGATTTTTCTGATTTGGAACAGCATTACTGACTATGCTTTTATACTTCATTGTTAACAAGTGACTGTTTAATGTGTTACAGTTCCTCCTGATGCACATGGTGTCATCTTGTAATACCATTCATTGTTTTGCTTTTCAGTTTCCCTCTGTTTTCCTAAAAAATCAAAATACGTGTTTCCATTTTTCCCTGATTATCCCCTTCCTAACCCCCACAGTCCTTTGTTATAGCTCCTGTCTTACGACTGTTTAAGCCACTGGGTACAAGTCAGCAGGCACTATTTCTGAGTTTGCTTCCTCTCCTTGCGTTTACCCACTGGGTGATCTTGAGTCAAAGAGAGGTGTCTACGTCCATTTTCTTGTAAAACAGTTGCTGCTGGTGGGCAGGTGCTTAGTTATCCTGTAGGTGCTAAGTACAATTACAGTTGTAAACCTGGGCAAACCTGCAATAATGAGCCTTAGAGCAGATCGACCTCAGCTAGTGTAAATAAATTACTGAAAGCACTTATGAGGCTTGCTGTGCTTCAGACATGACTCACAGGAGGAGGAGGAGGATGTTTTCAAGGTACCTGTCTACTGGAAACCATGTTCAGGGATGATGCTGCAAAACTGACGGAGATATGTGGACGCTGCGTATCCCCTCACCGCGTACCGAGGCCACCACAGATTCACTGACCTTCCTCACGGCTATTGAGACACAAGTTCCTTCGTACAACCCCAGCTTTCTCCAGCTGAAGGGCCTGCAGTCCCTTGGCTTATAAGGGATGCACACACACGTGCCCTCTGCCTTGGCCGTTCTCCGGCCACCGCAGCCCTGCGGGGCTCTGCATGTGCTGTTTGCTCATTTTTCCCAGTTGTTTGCCCAACGGGGCCTGTTCCCGAGTGCTCACCGTGCCCGTGAAGGTGACCGGGATGGAAGTGGGGCCTGGGGGTGGGTGGTGGAGGCAGGCAGCGGTGCGTATGCACGTGTAGAGGATCTGAGAAAGTGTCCCGTAGTGTAGAGAACAAGTACTTTTTTTACTCCTGAGGATGCTTTCTCACCGTCTCTTCCAGATACTTTTCAGCTCCTCCTCTCCCCCCATGCTGCGGTTTTGTACTTCTCACTTCGGGAAGGAAAAACTAAGTGTGGTTAATTTTAAGCCAGTGACATCGTTCGGGAGGCCCGGAAAACCAGTTATCGGTTGACAGGCCTGATTTGAAACGTGTCCTGCCTGACCCCTCTGCAGTAGCGAGCCAGAAGCCGTGCTCCCAAGAAGCCGGCTTTCTGGAAGGCTTTTTCACCGGATCGTTTAAAGCCTACGCTTCTTGTGAGCGCGGGTGGCCCGCTGGGGCGCAGCTGGTGGGTGCAGCGAGCGCGGCGGTGATCCAGAGCGGAGCTCGGCGGGGAGGGCTCGGGCGGCGCTTCGGCAAGTCCCGAGCGAGCCCGGGAGGCGGGCGCGGACACGCGTGGGGGGACGGGCCCGATTCGGCACCGTCTCGCGAGGCTGGCGGTGCCCCGGCCCCGCGCAGCCGGTGCTGCTGCGGGAGGCAGCGTGCCCGGTGCTGCCCGGGGGGGCCCGGACCCGCCGGGGCGGGGGGCCCGGGGGGGGCCCGGGGGGGCCCGGACCCGCCGGGGCGGGGGGCCCGGGGGGGCCCGGACCCGCCGGGGCGGGGGGGCCGCCCCCGGAACGCTGAGATCCCGGTAACTGCGGGCTGGAGCCCGGTTACTGCTGAGCGCCCGCGCCTCCCCCCCCGCCCTCGGCGGCTGCGGGTAAAAGCCCGTGGGAGGGAGCTCGGTGTGTGCGTGCGTGGGGTCGTGGTGCCACAAGGGCTCTGCCCACCTGCCTTTCTGTGTGCGAATGGATGAGGCTTTTCTGCTTACCTTAGCAGGGAGGTATTTTTCAGGTGAGAATACATATTTTTTCAGGCAATCGTCAAAACGAACCCCTTTCATAATTTTCTCTTCAGCGTGCTTTCTTACACGCCAGCCAGCGCTTTAGCTTTTTGTAGGTGGAGGAAAAACTACAAAGTTCTTGCCTTAACCTGGAGACGTATTGTCCTGTAAACACGTTGCAAGTCTGGGATTAAAAAAAAAAAAAAAAACAAACCAACAAAAACAAACCAACCACAACAAAAACCCCACAACCCTATTAAGAACAAAAAACAAATGAAGGGCTCGATAAGAGGAGGGCTGTAGGTGGTAGCAAGTGCTTTGCTAATTTGGGTGTTAAATTAGCACCCAGGGGTGATAAGTAGGATAACTACTTTTGATTACCAGATTTTCTTTTGCTTAGTGTGGTAAAATGCTCCCAAAGCACACACACATGACATGGTCTTGTTTATTCATGTCTGTAGTTAATGTATTTACAATAGTTCATATTGTTCTAGCTAATATTCTGCAGTATGTTATAAAAAATAAGAAAGATTAAATAAGAGGCGTAAATATTCTACTTTGTTAGTGAATTTTCTCTGAAGAATGAAGATAGATCACAATAGTCCTTCTTGAATTAATATAAATGCAGATTAATGCAGTCAAATGTGTTATTTTTCCATAGACAAGTTACAAACACAATGCGGTACGATTCCCAAATATTACAGCTTTGTTAAAACAGATTTTTTCATATTCACTTGTGGGGATACATTTTGCACACCTTCTTTCAGATTAATCAATTTGAATTCATTTAGGACACTAACAGTTTAGTATAGTGGCAGGTTTATTTAGATAAATGGATACCAATTTTCATCAATTATGAAAATGAAACACAGTAAAAATTCTAAAAGTTTGTTAAAATAAATCTGCTTACTATTCTGTAGAGTGTCCCAGGTGACTGCCTCGAGCTAAACTCCAACTTTGCAGTTTGTTTTTTTTTTCTGATGATATAACTAAAACCAAAACAAGACAACCTTCCCGCATTCCCTGTGTTTCTCTTGTGTGTAGTAAGTCATATACTTATTCTGTTATTAATTTCTCTTGTCAGTTTTTCCATCCACACACATAACAGAAAAAAATTATGAGTCAGGATCCCATCATGAAATTATTTTAAAAAAAAAGAAAAAGTAAATCATGAAGTGGTAACATATTTTGCAGTGCGAAGCCCTGATGAAAACATATTTCATGGCTCTCCAGGTCTTTTTTGGGGTTGGGATTTTTTTTCCAGTCATCATTTCTAGACTCTACTGTCACAGCTGGACAATGAGAGAAAGGTGAAGTTATGAGTTAATACCATGGTTCTGCTAATTGAGGTTCAAAGCTTTGTGTGAGTGTTTGCAACACTGTATAATGGATGTTTCTGTCAAGTACTGTTATAAAATACTTTTTTATTTTTCTTTTATCCAGGGCTTTTGGGAAAACCACACCAAACTCATAACCGAGTACGGACCTGTTTGTGGGTAAGCTTAGCAGTGCCATCAGCTTTCTTCTTTTCTGGCTGTTCGCGTTTGTTGGGCGGGAGAGGAGAAAATACCAAGATAAGGTCATCAAAACGTAGAGTGCGGTGTTTCAGTCTGGGAGGATAGAGGTGGAGATTGTTTGATTATATGCAGAAAATAACCTTATCTTATTTGAGTTCAGCATTTGGTGTAGACTTCATTCTTCTCTTTCTTCTTTTAATTATGCACATAAAGTTTAGTCTTTTTCAGAACTGTACAAAGCTACCAGCCTTCAATATTCTCTTTTCATCTGCACATTCTTTATACTTATGGTGAACAGTGGAAATAATAATTTGTCATCTTGAAAAAAACCCTCAGTTTATGAAATAGCATGAATTTGGTTCAGCTGTTGCTATCTATATTTATGCAAAATTCCTAAACTTAAAATACAATGAAGTACAGATTAGAAATGAGGCATTCCTCTCTCTATAGCTCAGCTGTGCTATCTTAGCAATTTATTAGAAGTAAAGGGGGGTTTAAGTAGTATATCCCTTCACACGAGCCCTTCCACATTTCTGTGAATGTCATTTCTGTTCCAAGAACTACTTCCCAGTTGTCATCATCTTAAGTGGAAATGCGGTTATTTCATGGTAGCTGCTATTGTGGTCAGTTGGTGTTTCTAGCATAACTATTATTTCAATATACAAGTATCAAGCAATATCCACAGAATACAGACAACGCCAGTTTTTTCCCCTGTGTTCTGCAAGGGATTTAAAACACTTGTAAGAGAACATATATGAATGGTGTGTGAATATTTGGTCATAAATGTTATAAATACTCTTTGTATGCTCTCCCAGAAAAAAAGCTGTATCGGAAAGAAGTCAGGCTCAGCCATATGAAGCATTTGATGCTTCAGTCACAGCTGCCTTGTGGCATTTATGCTCAGCCCTAAGGACAAAGTGCTGCAAGAAGCGATGGAAATAATGAATTCCAAGGGTTAGGTATTTGTCTGAGAGGAAATAATACAGTGTCTTAGCTGGCCAGGAATGGAGAAAGATATTCATTAACACCGTGGCAATTTGTATGTTGTGTAACAAATGGAAAATGACTGAGGCTTATTATCTACATGACCTTTGGTGTGATGCCCTGAAATGACAATAATGTAAGAACACTGGCATTCATTCCTCCGTGTATTTCCCTCCTTATTAATATCGGGCCTATTTTTTTCTAAGCTGAATTAGAGACAAGTCGCTATTTAGTTGTCTGTCTGCTCGCTCGGCCAGGCAGAGGCTCTGTCGTTGGAGAAAGAGATGTATAATTGCACGGTATGAGCGGATAGATAGAAAGTTTCGTTTTTCCAACCTACCCCCAGCTGACAAGGAATGGAACCTCCGTGAGCCTTGCGTGGGCCGCAGAGCCGGATGGTGGTGGAAGCGGTCCTGTAGGGAGGAGGAGTGAGCGGACCCAGCATCCACGTCCCGTGGAGTGCATGTGGGACAACCTCCGTTTGGGAGGGAGGTGGAGAGAGGAAGGCTGCCTTTTGGTATCTCCAGGGAACACACAGATGGACTCAAACATTGCTGTGCCCGAGGTGAGCTTTATTTGTCATTGGAGGATGGTGGTTTAAAACCTGGCTTGTGAGCTGCCGTTCCGTAGGTGTGGCATGTGCTGGGGTTAGTTATCACAGTCCTGTCAACTAAAGAAATTCCTTCTCCTTCACTGTACGTCTTCTGTGTGATTCTTCCCGTGATTCTTTGAGAGAGGTAATAAATGTTAGGTGTGTTTATGTGTATGGTCGCAGCAAAGGATTGGATCTGGCAGTTGGAAGAAGATGTGGCATTTTGCTTTTTCCAGATTGAAAACTGCTTTCCAATAAGCATAAAGAGCAATGATCTTTATTTCTACAGTGGTGAAGTGAGTTGAATACAAATCTTTGGAACTGAAGCCTTTTTTCTTTCTAAGGTCACTTGAATAGTCTGAATGATACCATCACAACTGTTTTCTTTTGTGTGTGAATTGGTTTCCTTGACAACAGGATGTCAAATCAACTTTTCAGCTTTAATCAAGTCAAAACAATATATCCCTTCCATTCCAAAAGGCCTCAAGTCGTAGAGAATTATTTCAAGTAAGGCTTTTGTAGGTCACAAAAGCTTTTTTTTTTTTTTTTTTCTTCACTCCTGTGTGTGGATCCAAAAGAGAGGTGATGGTATTACTCTTTTATAGAGAGAGACAATGCAAATAGTCTTCAGTTGTGAGTGTATGCTGTGAAAACTGTCTGTTTTCATAGAGCTGGCCCCAGATGGAGGCCTAGGCAGAAGCAAACAGCTCTGGTTTGGTGCAAAAGCAGAGTTGGAGCATTTCTGTTCAATGGGGGAATCCAAGCCACTGATGTGACTTTTGAAGAGATCCTGCAACAGAGTGGTACTCTTCGGTTCAGCTATAGTTTGGAGTACCTTCTATAAAAATACCTCCTCTAAAATATGTGTGCTGGTTCTCTATAACAAAAATTAAAAGTGAAAGATATCCTGTTTGGAAAGCAGTGTACTGGTACATACTAAGATTTGTCTTGAATATTCTCCTTTTTAAGGTAGGAGATTGCAGGAAAGTAGTCCTGGTTTCTGTGGAAAATAGTGATGTATGTCACATTTTTTGGATGAATGTTGATGTTTTGATACTTTATTTTCATCCACACCATATCCAGTTTTTCCATTTCAATTGTAGGTTATGGCTACTGACTGGAAATAGGTGATCAGATCAGACAGAGAAAGAAAGAGCTTCTGGGTTGAAGAGGAGAAATAAGGGGGGAGAGTATACTTTATGGAATCAGAAAAGCAACTGCTACAACATGAGCAGAGCTGTAGAGGCAGCGAGTTAATTTTACTTTATATACACAGTTTGTATTCATTTGACCACTCTACTGTGGCTGCATCATTATGACTTTATAGCACTGTAAGCCTGTATGGCTGATTTGGAGTCGGAGAATAGTGCCAAAATAAGTAATATATTCTTGGCCCAACAACACACTACCACTGAAGGAACAGAAAATACGACACAGCCCCAAGCGGGCAGGTGATTGCCTTGGGGATGAATGAATCTATTCTGCCTTTGACTAGCAATGCATTTGGATGTGGGGAAGAGTGTAAGAGTTCATAACATAGACCTCACTGCATATGACCAAAGAGTTGGAGCAGAAGATTAAAATTCAGTGCAATCTGTAGGGTGACACCCTTTCTTCATGTCCTTTCGCATCTGAAACAGTTTGCAGGAGGTCAAACCCTATTCTTATTCTTCCTCTACTTGAACTCTCAACTTTGACCTGCCATGAGAAGTCTAAACAACTGTGTAGTAGAGTAAATGCTAAAGCAGACAAGAACAAAGTAAGGCAGAGGCAAAGAGGTGAGTCTAGGAGTAGCAAGAGGATGGTGTTTGGATTAAACCACCTCTAGAAAGCAGAAGGCAGTCAGGGTGCTTGAGCTCAGGGTTGTCTGGCTGTAAACTGACAAAAGGAGGCAACAAGCTCAAAATCTGATTTCCAGTGGGGAGAGAAATTAATGAGAACATTTCTGACAAGAGCCAGTTGTAAACCATTCTCAATCCCTAATAAAACCACGAGCAGCAAACTGCATCTTACCCGTGCTGAGCCTCTGCTGGGCTCCAGCGTAAACATTCCTGGATCGGCACAGCACCACAGAAAGCATGCCAAGGTGCAGGCACTCCTGAAGCATCTTGTGAAAACACGGATGCAAGTGGAGCTCCGTTTCCATAGAAGGAGCATCTTGTTTTGCAGTGGGTTACTTCAGCGCATTTTTAAGTAATGCACAGAAAGTAACTTAAAACAGGACAGGAGATTTTTCTTAAGGTGTGCATGGGATTACTCAATGTCTGAGTTGTGGATGGTGGTGGTGTATTTTTTTTTTTGTTTTGTTTTGTTAAAGACTTCCTAATATTCCTTACATGATTTCCTAATAAGTCGTTATTGGAAGCAAGATCACAGCTGGTCACTGAAATGATTGGGTGGCTTGACGGATTAGGAGAGATCATGGAGCCGGTCACTAACCTGAAATGCGTCCAGGGGTGAGTTGTGATTGTAAGTTATGCTGGCAGCTGACGGATTTTCAGAAGTCAATGCAGCTAGAGTTGGTTCTGCCTTAACGCTTGACTTCTCCTCTCCCCCAAAATGTCGCTGCAGATGGCACTAGTTAGCATTTCTGCAGGTGAGACCATAACCAAACAGTTGTGGACAAGAAAATGGCTTTTCTGGCAGCTGCTCCTGACCTCTGCATCAGGGCTGTGGCACAGTGAGTGGTCAGTGTGGAGGTCTGGGGCTTTCCCTTTGGCGGACAGAAGACGAACGTGTGTTTCTGGGATATGGGCATCTGGAATTTTTCTCAAAGCCTTATCCTTCCTTCTGCCCTCCTCAAACACCTCAGGGCAAGCCTGAGGTGGATGGGGGCAGGATCTCCTGCAGGGAACAGCTGATGTCTTCATCATGCAGTTAATTTACCTGAAGAAACAGTGTCTTTATTGCCATTTTAATTTCACAAACTTCTTTTTAGCCTCTCTGTTTCTAGCCTTATTCTGCTTTATGTGGAAAGAGTAATCCCAGGACAGGCATTCTCATCTTTGTCTCTGAAGGCTCATGTAAAGAAATAATTTAGTTTTATGAAACAATCTTATCCTCTTGCACTGGGGGTCTAATGGACTTACTACCTCTCCTGTGGTCCTTCCTTTATTTCGATATTTTAAACAATTTACCTTTTGTATTTCAGCTAGAGGAAATCATACCTGGGCAAGGATAGGGGGAAGGGAAAAAAACAGGCTTCCTATTTCTGATCTATAGCTCTTCATAATCTCAGTTTCACATTTAACCCGATAAAGAATTTTGTTAGCCTGACTTGCCTGGATTTTTATTTTCTTAGAGTGATATACTTTCTTGGCCAGACTCAAGTGTCTTATACTCAATCAAGATTTTTTTTTTTTCTCCGTGTTTCTTCATTTATGTGTTGTGATAAGGTCCTTTG